CTCTAATGCGCCATCTGCAGCACGTACGACTGATATGCTCCTCTTGACTTTGTAAACACATAACTCCTGCTTTAAACATAAGACTGTTTCGTCAACTAAGACAGCGCCAAACAATTACAGCTGATATAAAAGTAATATGTCTAAATTAACCACGTATGTTTTCATTAACTATCTTACAACCGCATTTGATCACTCATTAACAATGAGGTGGTCCCAAATATTTTTACACTGCTATATTTCTGTGACAAAGGGGAGAGAAAATGGACAAACTTTCCATTTCCAGTATCTTTATTTCGTTGCAGAAAAAGAAGACGAAGAATTTATGTCCTACTGAGGAAATCAAGCCCGTATTTGGTGCGAAATAAGTTTATAATTTGAAAAAAACAGCTTCGTCGCATTTCTTCAAACACTAAATACAAACCACTACTGTAAACACTAAATAGTCTCACGCTTGTCTTCTGGAACGAAGCTTACGTGACCCCAAAACTCCTAGTTCCCTTAAAAACACGGGAGGTCAGGTTAAATTGGCTATGAGAGGTGTTGAAATTGGGCAAGTTTTTTATCCAGCAACTTTCTACAATTCTGTTTATGTTGACCAGTATTCCTGACACAAGAAACTGTGAGGAGGACAAACAAACGTGTCAAATCTGGTTTCTACAGTAACAATACTTCCGATTGTTTGTTCCATTTACTGTGGTTCTTCCCTAACTGCTATATACGATATTATGTTCTTTTATTACTACTCAAACCTTCCTATTCAACCTTCTGGGCATATTCTGGGAGAAATCCGCGAACAAACAAATTCACGTACAGCATTGATGTACTATTATATTATGCATTAGATGACGACACGTTGGGTATGGTGAAATGTTTTGTGTGTTGTTATTTGATTTAATCGAACTTTAACCTTTTTTTTTCTGGAGTATTCTTATAAAAAGGCAACGTGTAATGAGAAACGTGATGTGCTTAACCATATTTCGAACTTCCTTGTATACACTGCATGATATCTGATTTCGCAAATATAGTTTTAGTACAGTCATCATCATGTCCCCCGGTGGGTCAGCGGTAAGTTTACGGACATACAACACTTAAGTCTAGGGTTCGATTATCCGCGGTGGACAGAGCGCAGATAGCTCATTGTGTAGCTCTACACTAAGACAACAACAACAGTTACATTCATATGAAACTCATTTAGAATCAGATAAATATATAAGGCAAACTGAAGAAAGATTTTATTTGCGAAAGTCCCTCTTTAAAGTCATGTGATTTATATATAAGTAGTATATATATATATATATATAAGGGTTGTACGCGGAACATTTACTTACTTTTCACTTGTGGTTGACGAACGTAAATTGAAGCCAAGACAAATACACACAGGATAAAATAAGCCTTTCCAATATGTGTTCACCTCAATTTTATCAGACAAAGTTTTCCAAGTCACGGGTAAGTCTGATGATTTGTAAATTTTATTCCTTTTGTTTGCTTTTTTATAGTTGAATGAAGAACTAATGTTAATTTTATAACATTTAAATTAGTTGATGATCTAGTTATGTTTAGGTCTGTAATATCTAATTAGACATTCCGAGGTAAACAAATATATATTTCTGTTTCGAAAACAGAAGCTTAAAAAGTGTCACAGTTAGAACAACAAAATAATAACGGCTGAGTGACTCAGTAAATAATTTCCAGTATAACTAATTGTTTTGGCCATCAACAATATACAAATAATACGAACTTACTTTTTATAGTGTTAAAGTAATGAATCTTTGTATTCATTTGCATTTAAAACCTAGATCTAGAAAAAATATCCATGGAAACTGGAGTGAAAATCGTTCCTTAACTTTTTTATGAGCAGTGTGAGCAAGTCATCTAAATCTTATATGCACAGAAACAAAGCGGACATATTTTCAAGAAAAACATAAACCGGAAAAGGCATATATTTAGGCATATAATACACATACAAAATATGAGAATCGAATGTTTTGTTTTGGGTTTTTTTTTAGTTTTGCTGTCTAGGCATTTCATTTTACACTTCCAGTACATAGAACCATAGACTAACAAGAATATGCTTAGTGAGATAAAACAAAAACCATTGTTGAAATGCAACGTTACGAAAGAGAGACACTAGTTTATATATATATAAGAGGAAGTTTGTTTAATTGTTCGCTATAGGAAACCAAACGGTTGAACTTACAAATTTTAAAATAACTTCATAATAACCAGTTTTTTACAATAAATTTAATGGTGCTATTTATTTTGTATTTGGTGTAGTATTTCATGACGAAATTGACAATTAATGATTATTGCGCCATTTTTTTGTAATAATTTTTTTTTACCATGACAACAAAGTCATTGTATCTACAATCAGCACAATGGTCCAAAGTGTTAATGAATTAACAGAAAAAGTATTTACTAACTTTAGTTATCACTACAAAGACTTTACTTAGTTGTGTGAAAGAGCAATATTGGCACCGAAAAAATGTGACAGTTAATTCTATCAACCAACAACTACTCCAAAGTATTCCAGGGAATCCTTATATTTACAAATCAATTGATACAGTTATCGATCGAAAAAAAGTTGTCAACTATCCAACGAAGTTTCTAAATTCTTTGGAATTTCCAGGATTGCCTCCTCACCAACTACAACTTAAAGTTGGAGCTCTTGTAATGCTTTTACGAAATTTAGATCAGCCTAAGCTCTGCAATGGTACCAGATTAATAATAAAGGCATTACAGCCTCGTGTCATTGAAGCACAATTTCAATCTGGTTGTGGCAAGGATGAAGATACTTTTAACCCTAGGATACCTCTAATAACACCAGAGATGCCGTTTCAGTTTAGTCGCTTACATTTTCCAGTAAGATTAAGTTTGCCATGTCGATCAACAAATCACAGGGACAAACAGTGAAAGTTGTTGGGGTACAGTTACAAGAAGACTGCTTCTTTCATGGTCAACTGTATATAGGATGCTCTAGAGTAGGAACAGCTAACAGTCTTTATGTATACTCTCCTTTTGGAAAAACATGCAATGTTATATATAAAGAAGTATTGTAAATTCTAATTTCAAATAAAGCTTTGTTGGATTAAATGTTTTTTTATTTCTCGCATCACAGCTTTTGTCTACTTACTGAATAATTTGCTGAAAAAAATACTGATCTATAAATTTCAAATTTAAATTTTCACCGTGCAACGCCGGGTAGCTCAGCCAGTATATATATATATATATATATATATTAGACATATAATATTTGATGTATTTGATAGTAAATATACATATGCTTTTTAGATTCAACTTCATATACATTTGGAATGCTCACCACATGCACCAACAATATGGGAAATTGCTCAGTAAGTACAGATTTCATTCAATTACTTAACAAATCATTAGTTTCTCTATTTGTATTTTTAAAATTAAAGTAGACAACAGCCATACAATTCTAGTTATTATTTAAATTGTGATACTTGTGTGGTTTTGTCAGTCACCACTTACCAGACCAACTGTGTGTGGAGGTGGGAGTCCCACGAGAACATTAGCAGATTTGTGCATTTATTGTGTGTGATTTAAAGCTACACTACAACCCAATGACAGAGACACATGACTGAACTTTTATTTTGGAAAATTGCAAGGGCTTAGTGGCGTAAGAATTTGTCCCCCTCCTCCCAACTTAAATCTCAAATAGCTCTTGTTCCAACCAGATATTATTATAATTCATAATAAATATTATACAAAATAAATATGTGCTGGTAAGATATAAACAAGATGGGAAGTTTTCTTGATCTTACAATATAATTTAATATTCTTCTTCTATTAGAAAGTAATCTTTACTGTTCACAGCAAAATCGATCTTTGATCAACGAAATAACAGACGTTTAAGCTACAAATTAGGGGCCCCCCAGTTGCACAGCGGTATGTCTGCG